AACCCTAAACCCTAAACCATGCCGGATCCCCACCAAACATCTCTTAAGACCCGATGAGCCCGCTTGAAATCCTAGGGCTTAGGGCACCCAAAGCGGGAAAGCCCTAATGAACCTGCTGGAAATCCTAGCGCCCTAAGGGTTTAGGGCACCCTAAGCCTAAAATGGGCCTAAAACCTCGAGCTTCCAGCCCAGCTTAGCTCCGGGCGCATCGATGGCGGAGTTGAAGGCGATGGTGGAAAGCTCCAAACCCTGGTTCCGAGCCTCGCTTCCAGAGACACCAACATCCCTTAATTAAGGAATATACCTTAAATCATATTAGGGATCCTACTATAATTTAAGATCTATTCTATTCCTTAATTAAGGGATATTTTGGAGTCTCTGGGTTTCTTTCGGTCTTCGGAATTTTGAGGGCTTGGGATTTATAGGGTTTGGGGATTCGGGTGTCGAGTTTAGTGGGGTGTCGGGTTTGAGGTTCAGGGCCTAGGCCCGATTCTCGAAGGCTCTCTAAAATTCGACTCTCGCTCCCACTCGCAGGCAAACCAGTACAAAAACCTGGTCCAGCACAGGGCCATCACGACTACTTGGAGGATCATGGGACTTCGTAATTAAGGTTATAAGTCCCTTAATTGGGGTTATAAGTATAGTTACCTTAGTTATAACCCTACTTACCAAGTCCCATGATCCTTTGAGTAGGTGACCCGGCAGCCTCCGGATGGGGCCTGTCGCGGCCTGCCTTCATGCGCGTTTGGCGGCTCCCGACGCTGATATGAGGGTTTCCGAAAATAGGGGACCCTCATATAGTACCCTAAATAGTAGGATCCTTATTATAAGGACCCCCAAATAAGGTACCCTAATTTTCGGAAACTCCCATATGAGGGTCCCATGCACTCCGAAATGCCCCAGCCGTCTCGCACTGAATGCCAGCTCCCAGAAGAGCCGGGGCAGATGCGGGGGCGGTCGTATCTTGAGTTTAGGGTTTAGGGTTTAGGGTTTAGGGTTATCTTCTGAAGTGATTGTGTTTTTCATGGCTTCCAAGCTTCGCCGTAAGGAATGTTGTGCTGAATCGTAAGTAGCCGCGCGCCACCCTCCCGGCCCTATGGCCCTATTCCCAGATACCAAAAATTACCAAAATAACAAAGAGCGAGCCCTAAATGCCACACGACCTTCCCCATGAACTCCTTGAGCACTGGGACCCTAAACTCAACCCGACTATGCTGTGCATCTTAGCAACAAAGAAACTTCCTAGGTTCTAGTCGTCGGGGTAGCGCCTTGAAGCCCTATAATCCCAGATCGTATACAACAGTATGGGTATTAGGGTTTAGGGTTACCCTAAACCCAAAACCCTACAACCATAGACTGCATACACTATCACATAATTCAAAGAGTGTAATCCTCCTCGGTAGGGCTTCGCTCCTGTGCAACCCAACCTCGGCAACTCAAACCAAACCCTGAATTTTGGAAGCCCTAAACTCTTAAGCCCCAAGAACCCGAAAACAAACCGAGGAAGACGACACAAAGAACAGAAGAAACAGGGTTCCTACGGCTCGGGCTTTGGGGAAATACCCGGTTTGGGGGGTACCGCTTAGGGTTTATTGGGCTCGGGGCTTTTCGGCCTCCAGGTGTCCAGTTAAGGGCCCGAAGGAGGTAGGGTTTAGGGTTTAGGGTTTAGGGTTTAGGGTTTAGGGTTTAGGGTTTAGGGTTTAGGAGGATTTACAGCACAAGACCAGCGAACTCAACGCCCGAACATCGGTGTCGCCCCCCTCCCCCGCCTGACTGAGCATGGAGAGTGCGCGGCTCCAGTCCCTGTGCGTCTTACTTACAGGATCATGGGACTTAGTAAGTAGGGTTATAACTAGTTATAACTGTTATAACTAAGGTAACTATACTTATAACCCCAATTAAGGGACTCATAACCATGCTTACTAAGTCCCATGATCCTTCAAGTAATCCTTCGAAGGACGTGGAGGGGCTTCATCAGGGTGGATGGATGATGTACAAGGTCGCTCTTCCATCTTGTCTGAACTTACTTTCCCAACAGGCACGGAAACAAGTAAGGCTAAACTTTCAGACGTCTACCAACCTCTGGGAAATTAAAGGTTTGGAGATCTACCTGCGGGGTTCCCATTTGGGGGTTTCCGAAAATAGGGGACCCTAATATAGTACCCTAAATAGTCGGATCCTTATTATAAGGCCCCCAAGATAGGGTACCCTAATTATCGGAAACACTCATTTTGTTCTCCTTTAAACAGAACGAGGTATGCGTGTGGGGATCCCAAGAGGAGATTAACCCTGACGCGGTGCCGAAACATAAATCAAGTGATCACATAACCCCGACTCAAACAAGGTAATATAGGGGCCTTAGAAATTAGAATAGGGTTTTGGGGGGCCCATTATACCATTTTTGTAATAAGGAACCCCCAAAATACTATAGGTAATCATTTCGGCCCCTATATTTCTCATTCACCGAGCCCCAAATCATAGTTCAGGATTCAATGCTGAGGGTTAGCGTTGTCAATGGCAATACTGGCTTTCGGTATTTCTTGTTTAACTCTGCTCCAAGATATGGTAAAATGTAAATACTCAAGCGAGCCTGTTTATGCTATCGAGCTCCTACACTGGGTGCATCTGCGCGGCCCGCTGCTGGCGCAAGCGGAAATGGCAGCACCGAAGGTGACGATCGACGGCTGCATCCTTGTTTGGGGTCTTCCTTCCGCAATATCCCACAAGTCTACAGGTTGGTTGGGGTGAAGCACGCCCGTCCTCTAAACTCCATAATGTAAGCGCCGGAATAAATAGAATAGGGTTTTGGGGCCCATTATACTACAACTATAATAAGNNAAAACAATATAGGTAATTATTTAGGCTACATTAGCATCAGCATCCATACCTTCTCTGCTAAAAATTCAGTTAACAGGCCATAGTCCTCCATAGGATCACACCACACTTATACATCTACGTTTTTAGTTTCCTGATGAGCCTGAACTGCCTTCAGTCTGAGTTCTAAAACCCTCAATCAGGATATACCAATCATATCGTCTACCCTCTTACAGCCCCTATAGCGAGAGGACGAATTTCGTCCGTTGCTCGCGGGCTCATAGAATAGAGGCCCCCTTCTCACGTAGAATTCCAGCAGACAGCTTTCACCGGGTACTCCTCCCGGAACATAAATTAACGTAAACGGGGCTCAACATACTCCGCTAACCAGGCCACGCAATTCGACCCTCCGGTCACTCCGCTAGTCCGCGAGAGGTCTGACGAGAAGAAAGGTCACTGGATCAACACTTTTCTCCTCCCGATGTATGCATTGATGCTACAACATCTTCCGCACAACCCGAAGAGTTCTATTAAACCAGAGAAACCTCTAATGTAGGGGCCTTAATANNTCAGAATAGGGTTTTGGGGCCACTATACTAGAATCATAGTAAATAAGGAGCCCCTAGAATCATAATAAATAAGGAGCCCCCAAAACACTATGGGTAGTACTTTTTGAGGCCCCTATATCATCACCACCCCTGCAGGAAATCCTTCGCAAAGAAAAGGGCCCCGGCTTCTATACTAGAATCATAATAAGGAGCCCCCAAAATACTACTGGTAGTAGTTTTTTAGGCCCCTATATCACCACCCTTGCAGGAAATCCTTCGCAAAGACAAGGGGTAGTTCTCTAAACTGAGGTCCCTTTTAGGGTCCTTTTATAAGGGTGCTGTATTATA